TTAAGTACTCTGACACTGAAAAAGTTCTTTCTAACGTCCCTGTGGCTCATGTGGGTACTCAGTTTCTGTGTCCCCCTGTTCACGTACCACCCGTGTTAAAAAGTTTATCCTTATCTACCTTGTGTGTGTGTGTGTGTGTGTGTGTGTGTGTGTGTGTGTGTGTGTGTGTGTGTGTGTGTGTGTGTGTGTGTGTGTGTGTGTGTGTGTGTGTGTGAAAAAATAGGAAATTAGTTAGTAGTTACTAACAGTTGATTGATTGACAGTTGAGACGCGGGTCAAAAAATCAGAGCTCAATCCCCGCAAACACAACTAGGTGAATACATGACTCAAAACTGCCGACCTGCGAATATTTATTGAGCACTGTTTCCCAGACGACGTCTGGTCGACTCGCACTCTATCAAAACGTCTTCCCAGACGACGTCTGGTCGACTCGCACTCTATCGATACGTCTTCCCAGACGACGTCTGGTCGACTCGCACTCTATCGATACGTCTTCCCAGACGACGTCTGGTCGACTCGCACTCTATCGATACGTCACCCGCGGACTAGAAGCACTGTTATCGCCAAAACAACCTAACTACTATACCTAATCTACCCCTAACCTACCCCTAACCTACCCCCTAACCATACCACCTTACCTAACCTACTGCAAACTTAACCAAACCACCAAACCTAACCACCTAACCTATCCATATTACCTAACCTACCCCTAAATGTGCATTATATGCTAATAGGTAATACTTGCCTAAATGTTATCGCTAAATGTGCCTCCCACCTGCACCACCACCCACCTCCTCTCAGGTGCACCACCCACTTCCTCCTCTCAGGTGCACCACCCACCACCACCACCACCACCCACCACCACCACTACCACCACAACCACCACCACTCACCAGCCGGGTGACGGCCACACAACCACAAGAGCGACCCACCACCACCACTACCACCACCACCAACCACCACTCACCAGCCGGGTGACGGCTACATAACCACAATAGCGACCCACCACCACCACCACCACCACCAACCACCACTCACCAGCCGGGTGACGGCCACATAACCACAATAGCGACCCACCACCACCACCACCACCAACCACCACCACTCACCAGCCGGGTGACGGCCACATAACCACAATAGCGACCCACCACCTGTCACCGCCTGGTGATAACTCTCACTAAAGTGTCGAGTAACTCACCGTGGGTGGCGGAAGGCGCGCGCTTGTGGCATGAGCGCCTCGCCTGCTGCAGTGTAACATGTGCAGTACGATCACCCTCAGAGAGCGGGTAGGCCGGCCGTGCCGATCACCATGTAAACAAAGGCACGGGATTACCATGATCACTGTCTAACCTGATATATATTGAATTCTTCGTGAAAGACATTGGTGTGAAGATGAAGTAGAGCTCTGCTTCTAGGGTGCTGGTATATTGTCGGACATGGTGGTGTTTAGCCTGGGAGTTCCGTGCCCTGAAGATGTGGTGTTCCTCTGATGTAGTGAAGCACTGGCGGCTTCTCGGAGGGTTGGTTCATCTTATTGTACTCTGATAGTTGCATGATGCAACGTTTGTGTCTAAGCCACCGGATCATTCCTGGTGCACAGGTTACGGGGTGTTGGATCAGCCAGGTGGTGGTGTTACGGGGTGTTGGACCAGCCAGGTGGTGGTGTTACGGGGTGTTGGGCCAGCCAGGTGGTGGTGTTACGGGGTGTTGGACCAGCCAGGTGGTGGTGTTACGGGGTGTTGGGCCAGCCAGGTGGTGGTGTTACGGGGTGTTGGACCAGCCAGGTGGTGGTGTTACGGGGTGTTGGGCCAGCCAGGTGGTGGTGTTACGGGGTGTTGGACCAGTCAGGTGGTGGTGTTACGGGGTGTTGGGCCAGCCAGGTGGTGGTGTTACGGGGTGTTGGACCAGCCAGGTGGTTGTGTTACGGGGTGTTGGACCAGCCAGGTGGTGGTGTTACGGGGTGTTGGGCCAGCCAGGTGGTGGTGTTACGGGGTGTTGGGCCAGCCAGGTGGTGGTGTTACGGGGTGTTGGACCAGCCAGGTGGTGGTGTTACGGGGTGTTGGGCCAACCAGGTGGTGGTGTTACGGGGTGTTGGGCCAGCCAGGTGGTGGTGTTACGGGGTGTTGGACCAGCCAGGTGGTGGTGTTACGGGGTGTTGGGCCAGCCAGGTGGTGGTGTTACGGGGTGTTGGACCAGCCAGGTGGTGGTGTTACGGGGTGTTGGACCAGCCAGGTGGTGGTGTTACGGGGTGTTGGACCAGCCAGGTGGTGGTGTTTCGGGGTGTTAGACCAGCCAGGTAGTGGTGTTACGGGGTGTTAGACCAGCCAGGTAGTGGTGTTACCCGGGCTCTCAGGAACGCCTTGGGTTCACGCCATGATAAAGCTGAACTTCAATTCAGGTCAAGTTCAAGTACGTTAATAGAGACAACTCTATCTCAAAATGATAGAGTTGAGATAGAGCTCTTTCTGGCCTCCTCAACCTCTTCATATTGTACATTACACATTAAAATAGTCAACAAAATAGTACGTTACAAACTTTTTAGCGCAGCGTCGCCTGGTGTTGGCTGGAGCAGTGTGAGGTGCACTCCTCACAGCGCTGGAGCACTGTGAGGTTGACTTCTCACAGTGCAGGAGCAGTGTGAGGCTCACTCCTCACACTGCTAGAGCACTTTGAGGTTGACTTCTCACAGTGCAGGAGCAGTGTGAAGTACACTCCTCACACTGCTGGAGCAATGTAAGGCTCACTACTCACAGTGCTGGAGCAGTGTGAGGCTCACTACTCCAGTGTGAGGGGCTCCCCCCCCCTCCCCCTGCCTCACGCCGCTCCTCACCCACCACACAAATAACACCCCACACACAACAACCAATAATTTACCTCGTGCACACTTATATTGTGTTGTCAACAAGTCGTGCATCACAACGACGTGACGGTCGTTACGCTTCTTCCGTGGCGGGATTACTGACTTAGAACAGCTATCTAACATACCCATTGTGGCATGGTAAAGCTATCTAACATACCCATTGTGGCATGGTAAAGCTATCTAACATACCCACTGTGGCATGGTCAAGCTATCTAACATACCCACTGTGGCATGGTCAAGCTATCTAACATACCCACTGTGGCATGGTAAAGCTATCTAACATACCCACTGTGGCATGGTAAAGCTATCTAACATACCCATTGTTACAGTAAAGCTATCTAACATACCCATTGTGGCATGGTAAAGCTATCTAACATACCCATTGTGGCATGGTAAAACTATCTAACATACCCATTGTGGCATGGTAAAGCTATCTAACATACCCATTGTGGCATGGTAAAGCTATCTAACATACCCATTGTGGCATGGTAAAGCTATCTAACATACCCATTGTGGCATGGTAAAGCTATCTAACATACCCATTGTGGCATGGTAAAGCTATCTAACATACCCATTGTGGCATGGTAAAGCTATCTAACATACCCATTGTGGCATGGTAAAACTATCTAACATACCCACTGTGGCATGGTAAAGCTATCTAACATACCTATTGTGGCAGTAAAGCTATCTAACATACCCATTGTGACAGTCAAAATATTTGTTTAGTTTCGGTCGATTTTCCTGACGCGAGCAGCTGCTCGACTCATGAGCCTCGGGCCAGGTCTCAGGCAGCACTCACCGCCTGAGACTCATGAGCCTCGGGCCAGGTCTCAGGCAGCACTCACCGCCTGAGACTCATGAGCCTCGGGCCAGGTCTCAGGCAACACTCACCGCCTGAGACTCATGAGCCTCGGGCCAGGTCTCAGGCAACACTCACCGCCTGAGACTCATGAGCCTCGGGCCAGGTCTCAGGCAGCACTCACCGCCTGAGACTCATGAGCCTCGGGCCAGGTCTCAGGCAGCACTCACCGCCTGAGAAGCGAGGAACGATGAAGAAATATGTGAAAGGAAATTGGTATCGAGTGAAATGTCAACTGAGATATCAGTTGTTGGCAACCGCTCCGAGCTTCACTATGTAATTTGGAAACGGAATGATTTGTAGTGTGTGTGTGTGGTGGTTAGTGGTTGTGGTGGTAGTGGTTAGTGGTTAGTGGTTAGTGGTGGTGGTGGTGGTGGTTAGTGGTAGTAGTGGTGGTTAGTGGTAGTAGTGGTGGTTAGTGGTTAGTGGTGGTGGTGGTGGTGGTTAGTGGTAGTGGTAGTAGTGGTGGTTAGTGGTGGTGGTGGTGGTGGTTAGTGGTAGTAGTGGTAGTTAGTGGTGGTGGTGGTGGTGGTGGTTAGTGGTAGTGGTGGTGGTTAGTGGTAGTGGTGGTGGTTAGTGGTAGTAGTGGTAGTTAGTAGTGGTGGTGGTGGTGGTGGTGGTTAGTGGTAGTGGTGGTGGTTAGTGGTAGTAGTGGTGGTAAGTGGTGGTGGTGGTGGTTAGTGGTAGTAGTGGTGGTTAGTGATAGTAGTGGTGGTTAGTGGTGGTGGTGGTGGTTAGTGGTAGTAGTGGTGGTTAGTGGTAGTAGTGGTGGTTAGTGGTAGTAGTGGTGGTAAGTGGTGGTGGTGGTTAGTGGTAGTAGTGGTGGTTAGTGGTAGTTGTGGTGGTTAGTGGTAGTAGTGGTGGTTAGTGGTAGTAGTGGTGGTAAGTGGTAGTAGTGGTGGTTAGTGGTAGTAGTGGTGGTTAGTGATAGTAGTGGTGGTTAGTGGTAGTAGTGGTGGTAAGTGGTAGTAGTGGTGGTTAGTGGTAGTAGTGGTGGTTAGTGATAGTAGTGGTGGTTAGTGGTGGTGGTCGTGGTGGTGGTTAGTGGTAGTGGTGGTGGTCGTGCTGGTGGTTAGTGGTAGTGGTGGTGGTCGTGCTGGTGGTTAGTGGTAGTGGTGGTGGTCGTGCTGGTGGTTAGTGATAGTGGTGGTGGTCGTGCTGGTGGTTAGTTTTAGTGTTGGTGGTGGTGGTGGTTAGTGATAGTAGCGGTGGTTAGTGGTAGTAGTGGTGGTTAGTGGCAGTGCAGATGGATAATGGTAATGGTGGGGTTAGTGGTAGTGGTTAATTAATGGTAGCTAGGCGGCTACCGTGGTAGTGTTTGGTGGGTAGTGGGGAGGAAGCTCTGTCACTGAGGTGGGCATGCTCCTGCTCTGTGACTGGGGTGGGCATGCTCCTGCTCTGTGACTGGGGTGGGCATGCTCCTGCTCTGTGACTGGGGGTAGGCATGCTCCGGCTCTGTGACTGGGGTGGGCATGCTCCTGCTCTGTGACTGGGGGTAGGCATGCTCCGGCTCTGTGACTGGGGTGGGCATGCTCCTGCTCTGTGACTGGGGGTAGGCATGCTCCGGCTCTGTGACTGGGGTGGGCATGCTCCTGCTCTGTGACTGGGGGTAGGCATGCTCCGGCTCTGTGACTGGGGTGAGCATGCTCCTGCTCTGTGACTGGGGTGGGCATGCTCCTGCTCTGTGACTGGGGTGGGCATGCTCCTGCTCTGTGACTGGGGGTAGGCATGCTCCGGCTCTGTGACTGGGGTGGGCATGCTCCTGCTCTGTGACTGGGGTGGACATGCTCCTGCTCTGTGACTGGGGTGGGCATGCTCCTGCTCTGTGACTGGGGTGGGCATGCTCCTGCTCTGTGACTGGGGTGGGCATGCTCCTGCTCTGTGACTGGGGTGGGCATGCTCCTGCTCTGTGACTGGGGTGGGCATGCTCCTACTCTGTGACTGGGTTGGGCATGCTCCTGCTCTGTGACTGGGGTGGGCATGCTCCTGCTCTGTGACTGGGGTGGGCATGCTCCTACTCTGTGACTGGGTTGGGCATGCTCCTGCTCTGTGACTGGGGTGGGCATGCTCCTGCTCTGTGACTGGGGTGGGCATGCTCCTGCTCTGTGACTGGGTTGGGCATGCTCCTGCTCTGTGACTGGGGTGGGCATGCTCCTGCTCTGTGACTGGGGTGGGCATGCTCCGGCTCTGTGACTGGGGTGGGCATGCTCCTGCTCTGTGACTAGGGTGGGCATGCTCCTGCTCTGTGACTGGGGTGGGCATGCTCCTGCTCTGTGACTGGGGTGGGCATGCTCCTGCTCTGTGACTGGGGTGGGCATGCTCCTGCTCTGTGACTGGGGTGGGCATGCTCCTGCTCTGTGACTGGGGTGGGCATGCTCCGGCTCTGTGACTGGGGTGGGCATGCTCCGGCTCTGTGACTGGGGTGGGCATGCTCCGGCTCTGTGACTGGGGTGGGCATGCTCCGGCTCTGTGACTGGGGTGGGCATGCTCCGGCTCTGTGACTGGGGTGGGCATGCTCCTGCTCTGTGACTGGGGTGGGCATGCTCCGGCTCTGTGACTGGGGTGGGCATGCTCCTGCTCTGTGACTGGGGTGGGCATGCTCCTGCTCTGTGACTGGGGTGGGCATGCTCCTGCTCTGTGACTGGGGTGGGCATGCTCCTGCTCTGTGACTGGGGTGGGCATGCTCCTGCTCTGTGACTGGGGTGGGCATGCTCCTGCTCTGTGACTGGGGTGGGCATGCTCCTGCTCTGTGACTGGGGTGGGCATGCTCCGGCTCTGTGACTGGGGTGGGCATGCTCCTGCTCTGTGACTGGGGTGGGCATGCTCCTGCTCTGTGACTGGGGTGGGCATGCTCCTGCTCTGTGACTGGGGTGGGCATGCTCCTGCTCTGTGACTGGGGTGGGCATGCTCCTGCTCTGTGACTGGGGTGGGCATGCTCCTGCTCTGTGACTGGGGGTAGGCATGCATGCTCCTGCTCTGTGACTGGGGGTAGGCATGCTCCGGCTCTGTGACTGGGGTGGGCATGCTCCTGCTCTGTGACTGGGGTGGGCATGCTCCTGCTCTGTGACTGGGGTGGGCATGCTCCGCTCTGCTGGGGGTGGGCATGTGCTCTGTGACTGGGGGTGGGCATGCTCCGGCTCTGTGACTGGGGGTAGGCATGCTCCGGCTCTGTGACTGGGGTGGGCATGCTCCTGCTCTGTGACTGGGGGTAGGCATGCTCCGGCTCTGTGACTGGGGTGGGCATGCTCCGGCTCTGTGACTGGGGTGGGCATGCTCCTGCTCTGTGACTGGGGTGGGCATGCTCCGGCTCTGTGACTGGGGTGGGCATGCTCCGGCTCTGTGACTGGGGGTAGGCATGCTCCGGCTCTGTGACTGGGGTGGGCATGCTCCGGCTCTGTGACTGGGGTGGGCATGCTCCGGCTCTGTGACTGGGGTGGGCATGCTCCGGCTCTGTGACTGGGGTGGGCATGCTCCGGCTCTGTGACCGGGGTGGGCATGATCCGGCTCTGTGACTGGGGTGGGCATGCTCCGGCTCTGTGACCGGGGTGGGCATGCTCCGGCTCTGTGACTGGGGTGGGCATGCTCCGGCTCTGTGACCGGGGTGGGCATGCTCCGGCTCTGTGACTGGGGTGGGCATGCTCCGGCTCTGTGACTGGGGTGGGCATGCTCCGGCTCTGTGACTGGGGTGGGCATGCTCCGGCTCTGTGACTGGGGTGGGCATGCTCCGGCTCTGTGACTGGGGTGGGCATGCTCCGGCTCTGTGACTGGGGTGGGCATGCTCCGGCTCTGTGGATCGAGTACAAAATCGCATGCCAAATACCACAATCTCTGATCAGTTTCAGTTGGCACAAACCGGATTTCTTTCTCAGATTATATAATTGTGTTTTTCCTCTTTTTCTTTGTTCTTTTCCTTCCTCTTCTTCTATCGTCTTTTTCTTTATTTTCCTCGTGACCTGTATTGCGTCCGTCATCCCGCCAAACACACACCGAAACTACGACGTTAGTACAACGTTCGAACAAGTTTTAACACCTCCTAACCAGTTATAACAACCAATATAACAAGTTGTAACTACGTTCTAATACGTCATAAACACGTTAAGCCAAGATGTAACAACTTTATTACAAGTTGCCACAAGCGGAAAATAGAGACAGTTTCGGCTTGTGTTTCCAGGGATCCCGGGTGATCTCTCCATTTTGAACCTTTTTCAAACCACACATTCATTTATATTTATTTCTGACAATTTAAATATATGGAGATAACTCAAGGATTCGTAATATAGGAGGACAAGGAGACGAGAAGTGGTTCAACCCTTCCCTCACTGACCTGAATTCTCGGGGCTCGACCCTAATTTGTTTTATTTGTTGTGTATCAGTAGATGTATATCCATATCTCCTTGTTTGTACCAAAGAAGTAGTGACTTCTAGTTTTGTGTGAATCTGGTTAGGTTAGATGGAGGAGGATGAATGGTGACCGTTTAGGGAGGGGATGTAAGGGGTGTGTATGTGAGGGTGTTTGTGAGTGGCTCCAAAATACACACACACACACACACACACACACACACACACACACACACACACACACACACACACACACACACACACACACATTGGGGAGCCGGTGGCCGAACGCACAGCACGCTAGACGCGTGATCCTGTGTTCCTGGGTTCGATCCTAGGCGCCGGCAAGAAACGATAGGCAGAGTTTCTTTCACCCTATGCCATTGTTACTTAGCAGTAAATAGGTACCTGGGAGTTAGTCAGCTGTCACGGGCTGCTTGCTGGGGCGTGTGTGTGTGTGTGGTGTGGAGAAAAAAAGTAGTTGTGGAAACAGTTAATTGACAGTCGAGAGGCGGGCCGAAAGAGCAGAGCTCAACCCCCGCAAGCACAACTAGGTGAATACACACACACACACACACACACACACACACACACACACACACACACACACACACACACACACACACACACACACACACACACACACACACACACACGATCCAAGAGTGTGTGTGTGGGGGTCCAAGAGGTTACAAAAGCGAATAGCTCGATTTTGCAGGCACAAGTACTAAATACACACACGATACTTGCGTGTGGCCCCAAAACACAAACACACAAACATTGTGTGTGTGGCCTGAAGCACACACCCATACATAATGTTTGTGTCATAACAAAACACTAACTAAATAAACTGTTCATGACTTTTGTGAGACCAAAATTGGAATACGCAGCAGATCTCAAATCTCAAAAATATGCAGCAGGTGCCCACATCTCAAGAAGCACATCAATAAACTGTAAAAAGTGCAAAGGCACGCCTCTAAATGGCTTGCTGAACTGATCATCATGTTGGAGACGGAAGAAAAAGAGGCGATATGATCACCACTTACGATAGCGAGAATTGACCAGATTGACAGAGGAATTCCTGAGACCGGCAACCTTAATAACAAGAGGTCATAGATTCAAGCTAAGGAAACAAAGGGAGCGAAAAAATATTAGAAAGTTTTCTTTCGCAAACAGAGTGGTAGACGGTTGGAACAAGTTAAGGGAGAAGGTGGTGGAGGCCAAAACCGTCAGTAGGTTCAAAGCGTTATACGACAAAGAGTAGTGGGAAGACGGGACACCACGAAACCATCCTGTAACTACTCTTAGGTAATTACACATTCACATAGAGACCTCGCGGCTGAGTAGAGCGCGCTCTGGGGCCGTAATCCTAAGGACCCGGTTCGAACCCCGGTAGTGGCAGAAACAAGTGGGCAGAGTTCCTTTCACCTTTATGCTCCTGTTCACCTAGCAGTAAATAGGCACCTAGGAGGTAGACAGCTGCTACGGGCTGCTTCCTGGGGATGTGTGTGTGTTAGAGAGAAATATATGTAGTAGAAAAAATAAAGGAAAAATAGATTGGTTAGAAAGGTCGGGTCCAGGAGCTAATAGCTCGATTCTGCAGACACAAATAATAAACATACATGCAAACATTGTGTGTTTTGGTGCCCTCTGTGTGGGACACACACACACACACACACACACACACACACACACACACACACACACACACACACACACACACACACACACACACACACACACACGCGGTGTAAATCATAAATCAAGGTCCATTTTGTTTGAGGTGAGCACCGGACACAGGAGGCTGAGCGCCCGACTGTGTAGTTCCGGGGGTCTTAGGCACATGTGCACATCTGCCTCCCTCCACGCCCCCACCACCCACCTGTGGTGCAACTGTCCGCCCCCACCACCCACCTGTGGTGCAACTGTCCGCCCCCACCACCCACCTGTGGTGCAACTGTCCGCCCCCACCACCCACCTGTGGTGCAACTGTCCGCCCCCACCACCCACCTGTGGTGCAACTGTCCGCCCCCACCACCCACCTGTGGTGCAACTGTCCGCCCCCACCACCCACCTGTGGTGCAACTGTTCGCCCCCACCACCCACCTGTGGTGCAACTGTTCGCCCCCACCACCCACCTGTGGTGCAACTGTTCGCCCCCACCACCCACCTGTGGTGCAACTGTCCGCCCCCACCACCCACCTGTGGTGCAACTGTCCGCCCCCACCACCCACCTGTGGTGCAACTGTTCGCCCCCACCACCCACCTGTGGTGCAACTGTCCGCCCCCACCACCCACCTGTGGTGCAACTGTTCGCCCCCACCACCCACCTGTGGTGCAACTGTCCGCCCCCACCACCCACCTGTGGTGCAACTGTCCGCCCCCACCACCCACCTGTGGTGCAACTGTCCGCCCCCACCACCCACCTGTGGTGCAACTGTCCGCCCCCACCACCCACCTGTGGTGCAACTGTTCGCCCCCACCACCCACCTGTGGTGCAACTGTCCGCCCCCACCACCCACCTGTGGTGCAACTGTTCGCCCCCACCACCCACCTGTGGTGCAACTGTCCGCCCCCACCACCCACCTGTGGTGCAACTGTCCGCCCCCACCACGCACCTGTGGTGCAACTGTTCGCCCCACCACCCACCTGTGGTGCAACTGTTCGCCCCCACCACCCACCTGTGGTGCAACTGTCCGCCCCCACCACCCACCTGTGGTGCAACTGTCCGCCCCCACCACCCACCTGTGGTGCAACTGTCCGCCCCCACCACTCACCTGTGGTGCAACTGTTCGCCTCACCACCCACCTGTGGTGCAACTGTTCGCCCCCACCACCCACCTGTGGTGCAACTGTCCGCCCCCACCACCCACCTGTGGTGCAACTGTCCGCCCCCACCACCCACCTGTGGTGCAACTGTTCGCCTCACCACCCACATATGAAGCAACAGTATATACGGCAGCGGCGGTGGTTGCCTCAACCCTGCTCACACCCTGCGCCCTGCCTCACAGGAACAGGTTGTACGGGGTGCCAGTAAACTTTTCCTCGGCCTACCTCAAACTTGGGTAGAGTCAGCAGGAGGAGGAGGAGAGAGGAGCAGGAGGAGGAGGAGCAGGAGCAGGAGGAGGAGGAGGAGGAGGAGCAGGAGGAGCAGGAGGAGCAGGAGGAGCAGGAGGAGCAGGAGGAGCAGGAGGAGGAGGGGGTCGCTGGCATGAACTGGCGGACAAGACGTTGCTGGCTCCCACGCTACACATTAGCGACCCAGGGAGAGAACTATTTGATAATAAATGATTTTGCGTGAGAACCGCAGCAAGTACTTTATGGCGGCGATTGTTGGTGTGGGCTGGGCTCCGTCCTCCCTACGGTGGCGGGTGAGACATCACGGGCTCTTCTCACCAGCTGACAACTGGTAAACATGAAGTGGTTTGGTCTAACGAAGTGTTCGTACCTAGGTAATGCTTTTCATTGTACTTATGTTTTCTCATTTTGACGCTGTGGTCAGCAGCGTCAAGAATCGCGGTGCTTTAAGTGAGAGTGATGTGTGTGAGTGCTTTAGTCTTCACAGGACCATGTATACCGATAGTCCACTACACAATAACTATGCTGTAAGAATTAAATTAATAAAGAATTTTGCTTGGAATTAAACTATACACTAATTAAGGGTATATAATTAGGTAGTGTGCCCCTTAATCATCTGGTCAACCTTAACAACTGAGCCAGGAGCTGACCTTGAGGTGTGGCCCTCCGCTCCCCTCAGCCACCTGGCCTCCACCTGTCCCGCCTCCCCTCATCTCCACCACTGTGGAGGCCAGACCCTACACCAGGTGGCACTGTGGAGGCCAGACCCTACACCAGGTGGCACTGTGGAGGCCAGACCCTACACCAGGTGGCACTGTGGAGGCCAGAACCCTACACCAGGTGCCACTGTGGAGGCCAGACCCTACACCAGGTGGCACTGTGGAGGCCAGACCCTACACCAGGTGGCACTGTGGAGGCCAGAACCCTACACTAGGTGGCACTGTGGAGGCCAGACCCTACACCAGGTGGCACTGTGGAGGCCAGACCCTACACCAGGTGGCACTGTGGAGGCCAGACCCTACACCAGGTGGCACTGTGGAGGCCAGACCCTACACCAGGTGGCACTGTGGAGGCCAGAACCCTACACTAGGTGGCACTGTGGAGGCCAGAACCCTACACCAGGTGGCACTGTGGAGGCCAGAACCTACACCAGGTGGCACTGTGGAGGCCAGTACCCTACACGAGGTGGCACTGTGGAGGCCAGACCCTACACCAGGTGGCACTGTGGAGGCCAGACCCTACACCAGGTGGCACCACAAACATATAATATACCATCCCTAGTGTGGCCACACTTGCCACAAGATTAAAGGAAAAGGTTCATTGTTTTGTTTTGAAGCATGATGGAAGAGGCTCGGTACAGTA